GGTGTAAACTGTCTCTGCTGTAAACTCTTTCTGGTGTAAACCTTTGTTGGCCTTGTCTGGTGTAAACGACGTCTGGTGTAAACCGTGTCTGGTGTATAGACGGTGTCTGGTGTAATCGATGTCTGGTGTAAACTCTTCTCTGGTGTAAACCTTTGTCGGCTTTGTCTGGTGTAAACTTTTCCATGGTTACTTCGTCTGGCGTAAACAACGTGTGGTGTAAACCGTGCCTGGCGACATGCACCATCATCATCATTATCATCATCATCATCATCAGCACCATCATCATCATCATCATTACCAGCAGCTACGTCATTGCAATCGTCATCGACCTCATCGTTAGCTCATGATCACAATAGCATATCACGGGCGTATCGTGAGATCATCATCTCATGGCACATCATATTTTCATATTTGATGTCATGTCATATTTTCTTTCACGGCATGAGAGTTACATGTGTTTCAGGTTGTGTTGTATTTGTATACTTGGCTTGAAATAGACCCAGCTGACTCGATGTGTTATTGTAGCTGATTGGATTTTTTCCGTCGTTTGCATCGGCATGACGGTGACGGCTTTAGCATGATCAGCATCAGATTTGTTGTTACAGCTGCTTGAATTTTTTCCTTTGTTGGCATCATCATGACGGTGACAGCTTTTAACATGATCAGCATCATTGACCTTTGTGTCGTATGGCTCGAAGGCAAGTGGACTCGCTTATTCTCGATCGACGGTCGGCAGAATCCGATCCGTGTGGTCGGTAGGGTTCATGAACCAAACGTATCTTTATACATAGATCAGTGGCGTTGGCGCGAGACCGCGAGTTGTGCGAATCTCACCTATTTTGAACACCGCGGCGCGCCGTCAGATTTGCCCACCTATTTTGAACGTTGTGGCGTCGCTCATATCTGGTGGTTCATCGAGGATCCCACAGTCAAAGACCCAAATACAGAGCTGGCGAAGCATCGTCAGTCTGCCGGTGAATGTTTAGCTTTCTGGAAAGATTTGATGCATGTTCTTTGGGATGTGGCCTCCTACTACTGGAACCACGACATCAGGTTTACGCCTTTGTTTCATTGCTTTGGAGGCATCAATCGCAGTACCGCCGCGCTTTGCGCCTGGCTGGTGATCTGGTGGGATCTCAGTGTCGAGGATGCCATTGACTGTGTGCTCCAGCAGCGTCCAAGCCTGAGACCGTGGAAGCGACGAGCATATGTCTTGTATGCACTGCGATCCTTGGAGCATCACAAGCATGCCTGGCGTTGGGAATTTGAAACGTCGTGACCAAAGTGTCGACAAAAAGCTGTGAATTCGTGGCCAAACTGGCTAGAAGGACCTGGGTCCACGACCGGAAGTTGTTCGAAGTCGGCCCTTGTTCCGACTGAATGTGCAGAGACCCCATGAGGAACGGGATCCACGACCGAGAGTTGTTCGAAGTCGATCCTGTTCCGACTGGGTGCGCGAATATACCTGATAACCGATAAAATTGTGCAAACAGAGCTCTATAGACATCTTTTTTTTGTTCGATTGTTGGACTTGAATGATATTCTTTGCTTGTTGTGATTTGACCTGAAAGACCAGTTTCGTTTCCAGAGACATTGAGTCTTTTGAACAGGTTGAGCGGCAACAAGTGGGACCAAGTGAAAGTGGACACCACGCAATGGAATTCCAGGAGGCCGGCATGTCGATGCCACATATAGTCACCAGCCACGAAGTTACAAGTATCGGCGAAAAGCTGTGAATTGGCTATTGCAAAGTGTCGTGACCAAACTGATTAGAAGGACCTGGGTCCACGACCGGAAGTTGTCCGAAGTCGACCCTTGTTCCAGCTGAACGTGCAGAGACTCCACAAGGCACGAGATCCACGACCGAGAGTTGTTCGAAGTCGATCCTGTTCCGACTGGGTGTGCAACTATATCTGATAACCGACAAAACAACATGAGTTGAACTGTGGGTAATTTGTTTTGTTTTTCAAGTGTTGCATTTGTATGAGCATTGGTTGTCCTGATGCCAGGTTGGGACGTGCGATTTCGCACACTTCGGCGGCTCTTACTACCGGGACTAGCGTTTGAGCTCGACCGGCGCTGGATAAAAAAGAATCGACCGGGACTACCGTTTGGGCTCCGAAGTACAGTGCAACAGAATATACATTAATAGATTTGGTAATAACGTGATAATAGTATCATAATCATAATGTATATATATAGATATATATATATTATATATTGTGTCATCTCATCATCATCTCATTTTGTTTCATCTTAATGTTTTGAATCATCATATATCATCTCTTCATTTCTTTAGTGCTCATTCATCTTCTGTTACTTCGCTTTTCTTCCCTTCTATTTGTTCTCTTCCGCCTACTTGCTTTCGGGCCACCCTGTCGTCTAGTTCTTTTTTTTTGGGGGGGGGCATGTCCCATTTGGCACTTTGGAGGAACCAGGTAAAATGAATGTACCTGGACCAGGCATCCTCTGAAAAGATCGGTCCTGAGTTGTACGGAGTGGTCGAGTGGGTCGAACCTATGAATGAAACCCTCCAGGCCTGAAGAGGTTTTAGAAGGTCCCTTGTGTTCTGCTTCGGTTTCCGGTGTGGGGTCCGATACTCAAGGAGTTGTATGACTGAGGCCTCATGATTTCGGAGGCTGCCATTCTTGGAGCGGGTGATTCCAGAGATTCTACCGTACCTTGCTTGTACCCCCTTTATCTTTGAGGGAACGAACAGGTCAACTCCATGGTCTGAGCGACGGGTGGGCCTCAGCTTCACCTGGGTGATTTAGCGTCACACCTTGGGATGCCACGTCCCATCTCGTACCAACGCAGTTGGGTCCAGTGCGAGGTGAACATGGGCGGACATCGAAGGGAGGTGGTTGATTATGTTCAGCACAGCAATACCTGGACCCTCCAGCAACAGGTGTATACCAAGCCTCATTTTGCCTACTACCTGGACCCTCCAAAGTACCTCAAAAGTTGGGACATGACCCGGAGCCATCTTCTGGACTTTGAGACTGCAGGTATATAGCAGCCGATCATGATCCTTCCATCCCCAAGCGCCCAACCAGTGGTTCTCATCGGTCCTGGCTCTCCCTAATGATCCACATACCTGTCACAAAAGTGTGTTGAACACCTCAGGTTCCTCGATAGGGTATATAATCCCTACATTCATACATGTCTTAAAAGGGAAACTCGGAACAAATCTGTTCATTTTCTCACTCACTCCTCCGCTCATCTGCACATCATCCTCTGCCTCTCCCCCTGGGCTTCGTGACAAGCCAAGCTCGTCTGGTGGGCTGAGCTCTCGTCCAATCTTGCCTCGGGTGCTCGCCCGTCACACTCCGCTTCCGATCGACGCTCCTACGACGGAGAGGGATAGTCGTCCGATCGCCCACCATGAATTGAATAGGTTATTGTAGCTCAATCTGCAAACTGCCAAACTCCAAAGAGTGTTCTAATGTCAAAAGGACGCCAATAACCAACCTGAAGTCTCAAAGCAGTCTTAGGTTTATGCCCACATGTCAAGCTAACTTAAGAGACTCTTAAGTTGAGGACAAGCCCCACATGTCTGGGGTTCTTAAGCTAACCCACATGGGGACAAGCCCCAAAGGAACCGAAACTGGACCAGCCTGACGCTAGATGCGACAGCTTTTGGTCAGTACCGCTGGCACCGGACGCTGCATCCCATGGTGAAGCTCGAGCTCGACGTGCAAAGCACAAAGCAGTGTTTCTGTGTGACGATTCTCTTGGATATGAAGAAGGACGCCCACGATCCGCTCAGATCACCTCACTCAATTCAGGGTCTAATGCTACACTGTTTCAAACTGCTGGTATCTCAGTCGCGCCGATCTTTGATTTGTAGGAAGCCAATGAAAACCTCTACCCAGACGCTCCTGGACCCTCATATGGAGGGGTCTGGGGTCTCAATTCCCTAGGTTTTGAGGAACCAAGGGGCTGTTTGGAGCGTCTGGGTAGGACATATCTGATTCTGCTCTACTTGATGACCCGTTTGCCGCTAGCCGCAAACGTCATTTTATACTTAGAGTCTCAGTTCCTACCTCGGAAAACTGGTATTCTACTATACAGTACCTGCTCTGCTCTTTGTTCAGGTCACGTCCCATTTTCGAAGGCACGAACTGGAAGGTTTTGGTACTCCAAGTCTTTGTGTTTTTCTAAGTGTCTTCGATCCATCTCCTCCAGCTCAGTGATTAACGCCATGCTTGGGCCCCGCAACCGAAGAGCATCGAGAGGAGGACGACGTCAAGATAGTAGGCGTTCGCAGCTACCCTGAGTGACTGAGGGTTATGTGGATCGAAATCTCTTACCCTATATGCATCTGGGCCCGAACCAATTGACCAGGATATATACACTAAGAATCGTCACTCAGAACTAAGTCCAAGTCTGAGTGGCCCCCTGACCTGTCCCAGCAGGTTGGAGGGGTAACAATTGAAGATTAGAACTTAATAGAACTTATGTGTGAGAAACCAAAACAATTCACACACAGACATACAAACACACTTACACTAGATACTCCTTCACGAATCTCAAGACACATCCACAAGAACGACCCGTCCATGCCACACATTGCCACGCCGCATGCCACGCCCATTACAACGGCTCACGGCTCCAGTCTCTCCCTTCTCTCCACTCCAGTCGAGCGGCGTGTCCCAGCCATTGATGGGGCCCGGGTCCAAGGCTAAAGGAATGATCGGAGATTCCTCCACGCCCGAGCGAATCAATCGAAGATGGCGAACCGCACCCCGCACTAGTAGCTTCTTGTTACTAGTAGTAGTAATGATTTTGTTACTACGTAGTAGCAATGCAGTGTTTGTTCGGAGACGGTGTTTCATCGCTACTATACTAGGAGCAAAGGGCATCGCTACTAGGAGCAAGGATGCTACTACTAGTAGCTCCTGGCATTGCTACTAGGAGCATCTACTCGAGGTTGCTTCATTCACCCTTGGAGGCCCATGAGGAACTTTGTTTGATTTCATGGTGGCTCACAAAAGGTATGTTCATGGCTGCTTCCTGCTGAAAATTCTACCCTTGGGTGGCTCACAAGAGGTACGCTCTATTTTTCCTGCTTCCTTCCTTACATGTTACCCTCGGGCGGCTCACAAAAGGTGTGCTAGTTTTCCATGGCTTTTTTTTTCATTAAGATTTTACCCTACGAGGGTGGCTATGTACTTTTAATGGCTCCAGAAACTTTGTCTCCTAAATTTAACCCCCAAACGGGCTCACTTAAGGTGTGCTACATTGGAATGGCCTCTTCCTCCTCTAAATTCTAAATTAGGGTGGCTGTCTCCTTTGGGTGGCCCACATAATTTGGAACGACCCCTTCCTCCTCTACAAGTATATATAGACTCTAAATTCTACCTTTGGGTGGGTCACTCCGTTTGAACCTCTCACAAAAAGGTATATGCTACCCACTACCTTGTCCGGCTGCCCTACGTTACAACCTCTAAAATTTAACATGGAGTGGCTTGCAAGTCCGGTGTGCCACGTGATTTTTTAATGGTTCCTTTCTTATCTATCTACGAATGTGACCCAAAAGAGTGGCAAACCTTTTGGATCCTTCCGTCCGGTTTTGGTGAGTGTCTCACAAGAAGGGATCCAACGTCTTTGGCCAGACCCCTTCCAACTAAACTCCAACATCTGTCTGTGACATGCCCATGTTGGAAGAAAACAATGGAGCTGAGCCAAACACTCAAAACTCTCTTGGGGCCAGACCCAGAAAGCACACAACAAAGGGAATGCATTGTAAGCTTGTTTGTCCTTAAACTTGTCTCCGTCTTCCTTCTTTCCTTCCTCCTTTGCCAGGAGAAGGAAACAAGATTCCGGAACAAAACAGAATAATCCTTCAAACAATGCCCTTCCAAAACAAAGGCCAGGTGATCCTTGTTCTCGCCAAATGCAACTGTGTCTCCCCCTGGCAAAGCTTTTCCAAAATATCTACGATTTGGCCATCCTTGACCACTTGTGCGTGTCTGATGGTAGATTCGATCAATCAAGAACCTTTGAGGTTTCGACAGCACAACAAAATTCCACCACCCCATCAGTTGACAACTTCATTGGACACAACCAAAGGCGCCATTTCCACAGGCTTTTTCCAAAGCGACTCCCCAAACCGATCGCCAGGAAGCGTCTCGTGCTTTGTCTCATGGCTCCATGCCCACTCCTTGTCTCTTGGAAGCGTCTGGAAGAAGCGGACTCCTTGGCGACCGAAGCGAAGCGGACACCGAGGCGACACAAACACGGACTGGCATGTTTGCCGAGAAAAGGCCAGGGGTGGTTGACTTTGGGTCAATGTGGGCATAAATAAGCTATATATCATCCATTCCACTATCCATTCCATATACGTGGGAAACAAACACACAATAAAGGGGTGGAGAACGTGTTGACATATTCTACATGTTCCATCATTTAATCATTTTCCATACATGGATGGACGACATGGATGTGCATCCTGGATGCGACATTGAACACGCTTGAGGGTAGCGTCTCTGCACGACAGAACAGCCAATTGGGGGACTGAAAAAGACTGGGAAAGGTATGTGTTTTACCTTCTATTGCGAGCCACCCACATGTCAATCTTACCTCCAGGAAGGACTTAAGTTGAATCTAAAGGTTCATGTACAGTATAGCAGAGCAATGGAAAAACCATTCTCGGAAATGACCTGGAGTGTCTAAGCTATGAATACATAGACTGAAGATCAAAACAACACCTGAACACCCATGGAACTTCGTGTCACGAACTTCGTCCCAGTTCCAAGAAAAAACAGCGTTTTCGGCATTTAGCAGCTCCTACCCTATCTACCCTTCCAGCTATCTCAAAACACTTAACCTGCCAATACCTGCCAGCCCCCCCCCAAAAAAGAAGGTATTAAAACACAATAGTTAAAAAAACAAACTAAGATCCAGCGAGTGACATTCATCACCCGTCACAGGTGACTAAACATAATGTCACTATATAAAGCTGACCCCAAACATTCCCATGCCAATATGCCGATACAGCCCAGCCAGACCCCTTTTCCACTGCAAGACATGGGAGCTTCCTGCTGGAGGAGATAATGCTTCGACACCGTCCGCACGGATCGAGCGAGTTTGTTCCGGCCTTTCGGCAGTTGATGGACCCATTCCTCTCGGAAAGACACCTGGAGGGCCACGCGGTCTCGACAGATGGGCACAGGTGGCCATTCCCATCTACTCAAGAGTTTGAGAGGATTGAATCCGCACAGGATGTCCAAATGCCCCAGAACATGGGGAATTACTTTGTGGAGAGCTTCATTGTTGGATGCTTTGTGCACTAACACCACAAGCATGTGGAAAGCCATAGAAGCACTGCTCAAGACCTGGAAAAAATATGTCCTGTTTACTGAGCCAAAGTGCATCACTGACCCGGGTGGACTGCGCACCACAATGGATGCCTTGCTTGGGACACTTCCTCCTCAGTGACAGCACCTACTTCAGAGTAGCAACCGGCCCATTCTTCCTGCTTTAAGACCCAAACAACATCAAACAACACCACCAGGCCCGTTTCACCCCGATAAAGGAGACTCTTGATTAATAAGCCTCCCATATGTAGAGGCAATATACTAAGGCTTTGTGTGGACGCGAACCGCCCGCAAGTTCGTGCATTTCTTGGGTGGCAATCGACCATGTCTGCTACGTCTCTGTTTCATCCTTCGGACGGCAAAACCAAGTCGATCCGGGGCCGTTTCAACCTGTTCGGACCGGAGCGAACACCGTCTTCAGCCGCGCCATTGGTCTCCCGGCCTGGGATCTCAACTCGTTTAGCCTTAAAGAGGTCAAATCCTCGGGGGCGCCAATTCCAAGCAGCCGCGGTTCCGCGGTCGATGCGTTTTGAACGGCGAGGACGACATGTCAAGGACATGGGTCGGCCGAGGGCGCCCATGGTGGAGGAATTTCAAAGCTGAAAATCTGATCCCATCATATCCCATCATGGAGGAATCCAAAAAGGAATCTAAACCTGAAACACCTGCCATCTTACGCCCTTTTCAGCCTCTGACGTTGATTTGTATTTTTCTCTGGAAAAGGCAACTATAATAACTTTGGACAGACCCCTGAAACGGTGGCTCTTTCGTGTCTTAGCAGGTGCTTCCTGGCTTGGAGGGTTTTGAGAGCAGTTCACAGGCAAATTGCGATAAGAAGAACTCCCTTTTCTGCTCCTTCTCACTTAGGCTTGACTGTAGGAGGTTTTTCTTAAGAAAACAGGGGGTGGCTTCACACTCAGCCAACGAAAACTCATCCCTCTTCGCTCGTGGTCGAGGTCTTTGTCGAATTTTTGCCATCACTGAGCCTTCTGGCCACCACTTCCCGTATCTTTTCGCATCTTTCGCCCTGTTCTCATGCGTGGGTCGACATGGCACTTTGAGAGCATGTCGACGGCACATCAGTGGCATTAATAATGATGTACCGTGCACCCGTCTGAGGAGCTGCCTTTGCGGGTTTGACCCAGCGAAGCAAGCCGGAAAATCAAGCTCGTCAATCGAAACATAGACCCTGTCGGACTGCTCGGACCCTCCAAAGCTAGGAACTGGTAGAAAACAGTATCAAACAGGAAGGACTTATATAGGCCTGTAAGCACTTGGGGACTCCAAATAACACCTGACATTCTGACCACATAACCAATATCAAGAGTGAGGTCTGTAGGCCCGGACCTGGTGAGTACGTGCTTCCAGAGAATGGTCGAACGGGGGGCCATCGTCAGGATGGTCCTGGACCCTTAGGGTTTCTATAACAAGCCATTGGCTCTGCAGAGATTCATAGAACATTTTGTAAACTGCACGGCCATGAAATACTGCTCCTGTAGACTCTGTAGACTGCGAAACACTGCTTGTTCAAGGGAAACAACAAAACCTTTGTGCCATGCATTGAAAGAACACATTTATAGCCCCTGTTTTGGGTCTGTTGGCTACCCCTTGTTCTTCATGGCATCCGAAAGTCAGAACACTTTGAAAGCCCAGTGTCTCATACCATTGATTCCTCCGCAAAGTGAATACATTATACATACATCCAAAATAATGCACCAGTAAACCAAACTCAGAACAACTAAGAAACAACACTGTTTGTTTTCCCCACAACTTCTCAAGAAGGAGAGCGCGTCTCCACAGAAACCAAACACAATGACAACGCCTGGAGTTGACCGGCCACCAAGTACTGGACCACGGAAGTACCGGCCACCGGACTCGTACCGGTACGTGCGTGTCTCATGTCTCCCAAATTGGATGAGCTTGCCGCGGACTGCTCGTGCGCGCACACTTACACACACTCTTCTGCAGGCAACAAGAAATAAGTGACAAAAGTTGCGGACCTATACAAACAATGTCCACAGCATGTGGATACATTTGTCTTCGATCTACAGATTACTAAGGACCTATAGAAACTTGATGTAGTTCCAATGCTTTTCTGTATGATCCAGGGTCTCTTTTCGCGACGGGCGCACGCCCTAGCAACAAGGACAGCACACAAGGAGGTGGCTGACCACATATTAAATAGTGCATGTGTAAACATGTATAAACCATAAATATACACATACGTATCTCCTGAGGATGTTCTTGGAGGTGAAAGTGCTTGCAAAGAAAGGTTTTTGGACCTGAAGGACATTCGATTCCCTTAGGGAGCTGTAAGTTTTCTACCTCATCGTCATAGTCATAGTTGTAGCATGTTGTATATAGTATACGACTTCACCATCCTAAAAGGTTAGGCAGGCTCAGCATGTGCCCCCATGGGTGAAACAACACACTAGCAAAAGGGAAACCCCGTTGCCGTTGGGAAAGGGATTGCCAACATTAAATGATGACACGCGCATGATGTGGTCCACAAACTTGAACACAAAGGGAAACATGGCCCAACAGCGTTTCAAGAAAATCTAAATTCCGATCCTGCCCTGCATGGTCCAAAGCATTCCCATCTCTCCTGAAACCCAATATGGATCCACATACCCTCAACACTCGAGGGCAATGTGTTCAACACTTTCGATGGCAATGCGATGTGTGAAGGCGAAACCTATCGAAAGCGGAGGTACCACAAGGGCCCGGGCCCTAAAAGGACGACATTTCGTTGGAAGAGTCCTAGGGATATGGGGGACCCATGGGAAGGCTTCATCATAATGTCTCAATCCCGTGTTTGAGCCGCAGATTTCTCCGCCCTTGATTGGGTAAGATTGACCATGAAACTGGGAGCGTTCCATGGTTTTAGTTCTCATATGGCCTACAAACATCAACTCCAACGCATATTGTTTGTCGTCTTGTGGCAAAACCATCTCGGAGTCTGGCAACTGCGTGCCCATGGGCACATCTCTATCTCTCAACTTCGTGTGCGAGCATGGTCTTTCAGGTCATCCCAGGGCTTCCTAAGACCGTGCAGCGGGGCAAACGCGGCGCAGCGAGGTCTTTCGGTGCGGCGCGCTGAGGTGTCGTTTAGGGCTTTGGCGTTTTGCGGGTAAGCAGTTCCAGAACCCTGGAAGATGCAAGAACAATTTCCTGACCCCTTTCAGGTATGAAACACTACCCCGAGTGGGGTAGCTGGTTTAATACGGTTTAATGATTGATCTCCTCATGTGGAAAAGACATGTGTTTGTTAATTCGCATACAGGCATACAAATAAGTTGACATGGCAACACTTTTAGACTTTTGGGTGGTTGTACAGTACAGGTCGTGGACTCTACATGACGCTGCATCAAACTTCTGGCCTCCCTCAAGCTGGCATAATCTTTGGGGTATATCCCAGAATTGCTCTCAGGAAAAACCAGGAAACCCATGGTTTTGGGGGTGTAATTTGGCGCCTATCTCGCCATCCGGAGCCGAGCCAAACCACACCGCGCAAAAGCCTTGCAAACAAACCACACGCGCCGCTGGTTGCCGCTGCTTTTTTGGTGAGCGATAAGCAACCCCAAAACATAGCTGATGGCGATAGAAATCCCCGTCTTTCGTCAGGCACTTTGGGATTGCGAGACGATCTCTGCTGATGCGGGCAAATGGATCTTTTTGTTGTTTTAACCTTAGATTGTGGTCTTTGAGACCACAAGTGCACATGACTCTAAACAAAGGGTACTTGAGCAGGTACAAACCCCACTGCGCTAAAGCTGAAAGTAGGCTTGCCAACCTACTGAGAGTAGTGGTTACCCTAGGCGGGCCGCCGTGCTGCCAAGCTTCGTGCGGACCATGAACCTCAAAGGGCTGGGAGTAGACAGGTATAGATGCCAGGTGCCATATAGCTATTGGATAAAAACGACCGGGGGATATCCCCTCTCTTACAGCAATCAACCAACCGGTCGGGCGGTCAGGCGATCTATGATTTGAGCAGCAACCTGCTTTGAACTGTTGCCACGCAGTGTTTCCAGAGACGCAGTACAAACTGTTGCCACAGCGTACAGCATAATTTGCATCGTTTCACAAAGTCGAAGTCTAGAAGGCTCTATGGCTACAATGTAGAATTGATACATAAAGGTGCCTGGTGAGCGCAGCGGACGTGCAGCAATTGCTCATGGTCAAACAACCCTACCAGTCCAAGTGGCTCGTCCTTGCCGTTGCTCTTGATGTCCTTGCCGTTCAATGCCGATGCTGGATGGTGTGCGTTCGTTCGGAGCTTTGGTCTGGGGCAGCTAGGTACATCGGGCTGCTGTCGTTCACCGTTAGCCTGGACCTAGCCATGCCCTGTGATGGCAACACATCGAGAAGCCCATTGAGTCTGGAGTCTCAGTTCTTACCTCCGAAAATGAGTACAAGCATTTGCTTCGGGTCATGTGACATGTTTCTAGGGCATGACCGAGACGTCGGCTCCCGGTAGAGTTTACGAGTTGAACCCAAAATAGTGTCCGGAAAGTGTGCGTATTGTCCAGGTTGGTGTGAAGAACTGAACATGCCCAGTCAGTGAAAAAGACATGACGGCACAGTCGATGGAAGCTGCCATATTCTGCGATGAAACGCCAACATTTTAGTTTAAAGATGTTTAACGTTTAAAGTAAGTCCATGTAAGTCCCATCAGACTGAATTCTGGCACATATATATATTAGAAACATCAAGATCAAACACTGTCGAAGTTCATCGTCGAGTTGGTCGGGACACGCCTGGACCCCATTCTGCAAAGCTCTGCTTCTTCTTTGCTTTTTAGATATGTCCTTTCCTTCCTTGGCTTCCTCTTCATGTTTTCCTTCCTTCCTTCCTTTCTTCCTTCCTTGTTTGCTTTCTTGTTCAGTTCTCGTTTCATGTGAAATTGTGTGTTTCTTTTCTCCTTCTCTACCACCTTTCTGCCTTTGTCAAATTTATCTTTTCTCACCCAATCTCTCTCTACACTATTACCAAATTCTGCTTTCTTCTGAATTTGTTCTTTTCCTTTCCAACTTGGACCCCTTACATAACTTATGCCGGCCCCCTTCCTGTCCCAATATATCTCACATCATGCCAAGTCTCCAAGGTGATCTTATCTCCATAGCTCACCTTTTGGCCTTCCACCATTTCGAAGCGCAGGAACCGCAGGAGCTCCACCGTGATGGTCTTGGCTTCGAACAAGGCCATGTCCATCCCCAAGCAAATTCCTTGGTCCAACCGGGACCCGTTTGTTTGGATGAAGACTGAACACCGAAGGATCCAGTTTTACGACGGAATCCTTGGTTACGTGCGCCCATCTCCTTTCCGCCCCTGAAGTCCCATGCCGTGCTCTATCCAAAAGCCCGCGCGCGCGCCCTATCCATTCCCGGCGCCGACACCCGGCGCCGCTTCCGCGTTCCCCGAAGTCGCGCGGGGCACTCCGCGAGGCGCAGGCCCAAGCGGCGTGGTCCGGCCTGGAAGACGGGGAACCTCGGACGTCTGGGCGACAGCTCGTACAAACCCCGGGGCTCAGGACCGAGCTCTCTTGACGTCTCCTGGTCCTTGGTCCTTGATGAAGCTCATGTGGTGTGTATATATATACATATATACTAGCTGTATAATATGTATCTGATTGTATCTGTATAGTGTCTTTTGGTATTCGCGATGAACTTCAGTCATAATGCGGTCCTTGACGGTTAATGTAGACTGTTGATGAATCAACCCCCGAGGCCCGAGGGATGTTAACTGTTGGATGGTCCACCGACTACATCAAAACCACTATTGTCACACCTTGAAAGCCTTGAAGTTGCCTGGCCATCCAAATGATTTGGATGTAAGTGAAGTGGTAAAAGAAAACATGTCTTGCCCTGGCCATTCAAGCCACTTGCTGTTTTCGCCCCTGTTTTCCGTCTTCCATGGCGAGGGCAGGGAGCATTGGGTGGGGCCGGACCTCAACAAATATCCCTGATAGATCCAAGAAACGTGGTCTTTGTCGCTAGCTGTTGTCTTTTCCTATGACATGGTCGTTTTATGGAAATCAAGTTTTGCTGGGGAACAAAAAGGTGACTTTGCCTGAGGCTCTGAGGATTCCTGAAAAGGGAGAACGTTGGAATACGTTGGACACTCATGCTTTGGGCTTGGGTATAGAGAGAGAGAGAAAAAAAAAAAGAAGAAAAAACACACACAAACACGCAAAACAGCGAATGAAATGGCAGAAACACGAAGTCACAAAACACCCATGACTTATGGGGCATTAGCATTAGCTGGCTATAAAACCATTTGCCATAGACTCATTAGCATCAGCAAAATGTCTCAGCTCTGGGGGCAGGTCTTCTTTAGTTTAAGGAGTGAGGCGGGATTTCATACAAACAGCCCCATGTGGGTCCGCTTCACAGCTTCTGTGGGAAAAGGTCCATAAGACCCTCTTGTCAGGGCCAGTTCAGAAGGAACCATTCCCAACAATCATGAACACACACATCAATTAAACACCTATTGAACACTGTATCCGTATCTTAAAACCCAAACGCTCCATGTATATATAATATATGACCATCCCGATGTATGCACATACATCCAGATGGAGCGTATGTGAAGAACATTAAAAAGAACATCTGACGATGCCCTTCCTGGTTGTTTTGAGCTCCTTCCCCGGCTCCCAACACTGCCCGATGTTGTCCAAGGTGCTCATGATGGGCTGGCGGAGTAAAGGGAATCCAACGCTCCGGGCGGAAGGCCAAAGGTTCCTGGGCCGTCTGCCGCAAGAGACGAAAGCTGCCAGGTGGATTTGTGAGGCTCTGGTCTTTCCCTCATGTTTGGAGCTGGAAAAGCACTCCATAACACTCCCATTTCCGCATGTTGCTGGACCGCAGGGTCTACCGTTCGGTGATCGTTCGGTGGAACGGCTCTGCGCCAGAAATGGAACATTGATCTATGACCCTTGCGGTGTCCAAAGACCATCTATGGTTTCAACCAAAAAGGTAAAGTTAAGTCCAAACACGGAAATTCCCGGACACGTACCCCACCAAGATGTGATGTTTGGTAGAATCAAACCATATTGGGATATATTGGGTGTATCTCATTCCCTGGTTCCCATGGATGATGATGGTTCAGTTTGCAGGGCCTTTCCATCTTATAACTATTACAGGTCATGGGACACTACTTGACCCACCGTTGGAGGTTCTTCCTGGTTCTTCAGTTCGTGACCCAACTTGATCAGCCTGCTTTTTTTGGACAGGTCACTTACCGTAGGCCTGTTGGACAGGTCACTGGAAGGGACTCCAAAAAGGTCACGTAATGAAGAAGCTGGCACAACCTGTTTCAATAGCGCCATGTGCCATTTTCTGAGGTACAACCTGCAGGGTCTAGGTGGTTGTTCCCCCTTCGGCTCAGCTTGTTTTTTTCGTTTGGCTTTGGACTTCAGGACCCTCCCCGCGGCTCCGGCTGCGTGCATGACTTGGGCGCTGGATAGCGTGTGGCGTCTCGACCCATGGCATAGGGCACGTACGCGATGGTGGACCACTTGGGGATGGTGAAGCCACCTGGTGAAAGGATGCATCGATGGAGAGAGCACTGGAAGGGTGTGACATGGTGAAACTGGTGCCATGATGTGCCATGTGGGGGAAGTCGCGTGATGGGGAGCATCACATCTTGACAAATTTGCTGCAAATTGTGGCTTATAGTATGGCTTAGTGAAATTAAGGATCCTCATGATCACAGGCCAAAGGGCCCGGCTTGAAGTTTGTTGCAGCCGGAAGGACCTCACTTTTGCTCGTCAGGAAGCTTTGATATAGCTGGGTGATGCTGAGTGTGCTTGTGGGCACTCCAGCTTCCTTGACACACTGAGTTCATCGACTGATCCAGTCAATCTTGAGTTGGGCGAGTTGGCACTCCAGGCCCCCACGGCCAAATATCAATACCTCCCGACCTCTGGCTGAACTCCCGACCTCTGGTTGAAGTTTCTTCACTTCCAGATCAACCTGAACCCTCCTATTCGTACCCTGACCTCATCTTCCATTCCAAATCTTGAGATGCCCCTCTTTGGACAAGGAGAACGGTCTCTGTGACAAGGGTTCCCGACTCTGGCACCACATCAAACCCGAACAGAACGTTCCCCAGCCTGGCACCACATCGTCTTCGAACCTGGCGGACGTCTGAAGGAGCCTTCAGGGGCCAGTGATCGCTACCACGTAAAAGGCTTGGACTGAACACAGGTCGTACTTCAGAAAATGGGATGTGAACAAGAAACACAGGTGCTTGCTACTCATCTTCCGAGATATGAACTGAGACTCCAGGTGCATTAGAAGGGGGGGAATATGCAGTGCTTCATTGATTAGAATGTCTTGGCCATGTTCATGGAGTACTGTAAAGGATCGTTCGATCTTCTGCCTTTTAACCCAGAATCCTCGGACCCTGCCAGTCTTAGAAAAAGCTTCTAGCCGCCTGAACCATCCCATCAGGAGTCATCAGGGTGTAAACATGTCTCAACCACCCCACATAATCTAACCCCCACCTCTACCACTGACTCCTACTATGGTGTAATTAAAACCCTATGGATGCGCCATGATGCGCCTAACAGGGCCAAGCTGAACCCTCCAGTTAGGTAGCTGTAGTGTCCCATATATCAACACAGCAACTGGGGCCCTTTGTCGCTACGAATGGGCCAAACAGTGGCTGGCTCCCTCCCTGTGTTGAGGCAAACGAGTGGATCCTTAACCGAGCATCGCAACGTCTCTGGTTTTTTTTTCTCTTTTTTTTTGGGGGGGGGTGAGTAAAACAGCGCTTCTTTCGGTCGTCATCTTGCGGTGCGTCGAAGGGTCGCCATCTTGGGATCCAAGGGCACTGGAGGCCACAGCCTCAAGGTCTCCTCAGTTAGTGATCGGAACTGATGTGATGTGTTTCCCGGCTGAGTGATCTGATCGCTGAGTGATGAGCAGCGAGTTAACGCATTTGGACACCACCAATTTAAATTCAAGCAAATGGTCTCAGTCCGGTTCAAGGTAACACTGCATAAGTTACATAAGTCAAAACACACTGCATCACCTTGTGGTTCTTCAGTTCGTGACCGATCAGGAGACATCGTTCGTTGCTTCGGGCAGTTTCGCGAAACAGGCTGTCGGTAAGTCGGTCAGGATGGGACGAAGCAACGAACGAAGCTGAACGACCAGCACCACGGATTTCGGGTGTCCATTCATAGCCCCGAGGCTTAGAGGTCAAGGGGTATCCATGAAGCACCCCTTAGAAGGGTGTCCACTACTTCATCGCCCCGAAAAGAGGTGAGTGATTCGGGGTGTCCATGAAGCACCCCTTTAAAGCACTGCCGGTACATGACTATTACATCTGATCCAGGACCCAAGGGGTGTCGATTGATAGCCCCAAACAGCCGTGATTCGGGGTGTCCATGTCTACCACCCCTTGAAGGCCCTGGATGATGTCATGATCTGTGACGATGTCGTGATCCCATCATGTCCCAATTGATCGGATCCTTTGTTGATCGGTTGCGCTCACTCCAAGCCGTTCAGTCTACGACAGCTTCGCTGGTCACCAAACCCCGAATCTCGGACTGAGCCCGGTTGGGGGGAATCTCGAGGCATCTCGAGGCTTTGGAAGTTGGGATATGCTGGACTCAAGAGCAGTTCATGTCCTCCAAATGCTCTTCGTACCTGCAACAGTCTTCCTACTCTGCGGCATCTGTCTTTGGTGGGTTCAAGGGGTTGGCATGGGTTGGCGATGGGGATGCCGGATGTCAAAGATGTCGGAGGTTCTGGTTGTGACCAAAAGATCTCAAGCTTGGGATCTCGGCCTGGAACCGTTTTCAGGACCTGGAAATCTTTTGAGATTTGAGAATTCCACCGCCAAAGCTTCCAAATTCAAGACATTCCAGTACACTATAGTCGTGCGTCCCACATGTTTGGGCCGTGTCCACGAGCTACCGACCGATTGATCTGTCCACCCTGGGTACCAGTCCTGCAGACGTGGGTCCATGCGTCTGCCACAACGTCGGTGCAGTGGCCCCATGCGGACCCCACGGATCAAGTCCCAGCTGAGCAGTTTACACATGTTTACACTATGAGTCGACCTGAGACCTGGTCGTTCCAGAACATGAGTATACATGCTTCGAATGACCTCCTTTTAGAGGGTCATGTTGTGAGTGACAGGCAGCCCGGGAGGGATTCCATGGACCAAGCACAGTGAGTCCCATGGATCACGCCGAGTCTCATAGATCACGCCATTCAAGTACGGCATGTCAGTGGCACTCAAGCTCTTCCAGTCAAGAGAGCTCTGTGGAGGAAGCTTCTGCATGATCTCCTTGCAGAACGGAGAACATTCTTTTTGGATGGGCTCCTGGCCTAGCTCCGTTTCGGTCAAGGTGGTTGGGGTGGGTTTGGAGGTTCAAACTACCTTCTGAGGATGTGGTTGGAGTGTTGGGGTTTGTTCATCCAAATGCTCCTTTTCTTTGGCGAGTCTTTAGAAATTCTACCCTACGAACTGGAGGCTCCATGTATACTGTATACTGTATACCTTCACAATGCGCTACAAGGACTCATTTCTTTGGGGTCACATCATTTCTTTCCTAGATAGGCCCAGGTAGCTTCACCTCGTGTTCATTTCCTTTGGCGCAAAACACACATGCACACATAAAAACAAATATTTGCATTGTAATTACTAAAACCTCTTCATAATCTTCACATAAAAGAGTCTGCACAAAAAATGGGGCGAGATATCGCAAATGTGCTGCATTGGGTGAACGCATCGCATCACTCGCGCCAAGAAACTCCGCATCCAAGTCCAAAGTCCGGCCCACATGTTAAACAACATGTTTAAACCGGTGATGGCTCTCCGTTCCATATTGAAACCTCCGAATCGTATGGAACCGTAATCTGAGGAACACATGAGTCAGTTCGGATTACCGGCTACCCGAAATCCTGGGGGCCATGTTCGACTCTCTTTTTGCACCCGAAACCGAGCACGTGTACCCGACTCTACAGGTCACCAATTGAGACCTGTCATAGGGCCTAACAACCCTCCCAAGTTGGAGACCCCGTAAAGTCAGGTGGCTCCGAGGTACTTCAAAACTCCATGCTGAAAGACAGGCCTGGAGCCTCAAGAACGAAACACATGGGTGTGCGGTCCTATACAAGCAACATGACCGGCGAATACCAGCGATTTAGCTTGGGAAAGGTCTATACCTGGAGTCGGAAAATGAGTCCAGCCGTACATGTGTCCTATTTTCTAGGGTACGAATGAAGTCGGGTCCAGAAGAAATGCAAATCTCCCTTTACAAAGCATCCGAATTCGTGTCGCGAGATCGGTTCGAGGTTCTTTGCAGTCGGTGATTTCAACTGATTTTTTTGAAGGGTCAGAACCATCCAAACGCCAAACGCGGCTTGTTCTGGGTTTCTAAGAGCTTCACTGGGAAAAACCACGGTTCATTTTAACGCAACATACACACGGGGCTTCGCGCACGGGGCCGCGTCCTGATGAAGTTTCTCTTGGACCTCCGGGTTCCTGGAGTCCCAGGGTCGTGGTCCCAACAGTTGGCCGTGCGAGGGTGGGCGATTTTGGGTTACAATGACATCAATGTGCCCGACACTGGAGGCACCGAGAAGAAGCGCCGTTCAGAACGGTCCCAGGTGTTGAAAAGCGAAGGATGAAAGGCTGGAAATCCCATCACCATTCCTACGAAAGCACACAAACAAAAAGCAGATTTAAGGCACCCATCGATGAAACGTTGTTCCCCGCCATGATTTACTGTCCCACGACACTGATGATGGCAGTGGCTCTAGCCTCAGAAGTGCGGGTTCACACATCTCTTCCCCAGTTCCTGCACTTTGCACTTTGGTTGGCAAGAACCTGGTGGTTCGTCCATGTGCTCAACGCTCAGTAAACCCACTCTTCCTGAATCATCCATCTCTTCCATTCCTCCGGGTGAACAAAGAAACCACAGATCAGATTCCTTGGGTTGCATCCGTCAGGTGTCGACTCCCTCATCAGGTTCATCAAGTAGAGCAGCCGATGGCCGATTCACAGGGAAGGGGACTGTTCATGGAAGATTGTCTCAAACTCTCCAAGAGACGTCCACCATGCCGATAAAAAACTCGAAAATACTCAAAACATTCCGGCTTCTCCCTCCACTCTCCTCTGTACCTGGACCCTTATCTACCTACATGACCGAGCTTCAACACAGTATACCCATCTCTGACACAAACAGAGGCTCCAGACCACCTGTCCTGGCGAGTTCGTATGCCATGAAGGATAAAAGACCCGCTGTGGTGTCGCGTCCTGCGGCTTCCGCCGGGTGCCGATCGTCCGTTTCGTCCACTGCCGGGTCCAGTGGGGTCGTCCCATCGTCCAAACCACCAGCTCCGTCAACTCCCAATGGTCGGTAGGGTGGCAGGGGTGCGTGGGGTGACCTTTCTGACTTCCTTATCACTTTCCTTATCCTACCTAAGTCAAAATCTAGTAACCCTACAAGGCAGCATCGTATATACATCTGAAATTTGGCCGGACCTAAGTTAGGCTGATTCTGTTTGTTGGGCAAACCGATGCCCTGGGGTCCCTTGATGTGCAAAAAAACTTTCGTTCCCTGTTGTTTTCGAAGTACTGTGCATTGACATCCCAAAGGACTGGCCCGCAAAGAAAAAAACTGATGGAATGCAGGTTGGGGATCCTACCCAAATATGGCCACATGTCGCTAAAACAAATCCAGAGTGATCGAGTGAACTTCCGAGAAGAGTCAGAACCAACCACGTTTTACCAAAGACCAATGCCAAAAACTATATCGGATGATTCAATTATAACAAGAAGCTACTAGGGGCTCCTGGCCGTACTACTAGGAGCAAGGACGCTACTAGGGGCAAATGGACATGACGTCTCTTCAACTTCACTCACCGGAGAACGCCGGAGTGCAGCTGGCGTTCTTAAGGTGCAAAGCGTCGAGGCAGAAATCACTAGATGCATTCGTGTGATCACAGGAGGGACCAGAATGAAACACACCAGTGGATCTTTGATACCGGGTACAGCCAGGTACTATATACATTAGGAACCAGGGTTGTGGTCGGTCTACAGCTTATGCTGTTGGAATTAGTAACTACGACGATACCATATAGCATTATAGTGGTAGCTGCATCGACTGGGACATGTTTGGGAACATAAGCACTTGTTACCCGAAGCTAGTCTCCGATCCAAAGCATTGGTTGACATATATGTTGACATGTCACTCTCTTGCCACAAAAAAGGATACGATTCCTTTGTCCAGCCAAGCCACTGATTGTACTGGGGGGAAGGGGTAGAAAACGCCTGAGTAACGACGTTTTAAGCCACGCACCGATGTAATGGGTAGACATCGAACAGCTGAGTGATGGGTCAAAAGGTCCACCCAAACAACACATAACAAAAGAAAGTGAACACAATAACATCTAAGAATACAAACTTAGCACTACACCAACAAACATATAATAATAAGTAAGGTATGGCTGCGAACATCAATGAAATTCCTCAATTAATCTGCTTCAAACCCCTGATTTTGAGGTGCTCATCACCACTACGTGAGTCACCAGAACCAGCAATTGGGTGGATCCTTATCTATTATTTGAGGGGTGAAATGCCCACCGGGGACTAGAACGCTGATAATGTTGTGAAATTAAAGAACGGCACCTTTACTCAATCAACATGTAACAAACCCCTTTTCCCCCAGAAGGTCAAAAGGTGTGGGAATCAAATAGTGGTGTGAATCCTGTTAATTGGGGGGGGGGTGAATCATGAGGAGATCCTAACGATTCTTTTTCAGGAGGGATCCCACAGACTAATCTCTTTATGAGGAGAGATCAATCGACATTGACTAATGAATTGTTAATTGGGAAAATTATGGACGATTAAAGGGGGTGAAGAAAGAGAAAAAGGGTCAATTAGTCTGGCTCCAGGCTCCTGCAGTTCATCCCTGAAAGCAAACTGTGGAACAGTAGTCTTGGAGTGAAAGGACTTTCCCAAAAAGGCATAAAAGGACCTGGAGTCTCAGTATGTTGACCTTACTAAGGGGGTCCTTAATTTATAGGCAAAAAATACTGCCCAAAAATAGATTCTAGATCGGACATGATAAGATAAGTGTGTCAAGAAGGTTTTAGATCTGGAACACTTTTTGGAACAAAACTACTCACTCCTGTCCTGCAATGATCAGGTGGAAGACCATTTGCTTGGTGAACTCGGGTGTGAAGCCACCTTGCAGAAAAAGAGCCAAGAGGTCCCTCCGGTCCTGGGCGGACAACGAATCCTATGCAGTCCTCGACCTTTTGGACACCACTGGATTCTACCCTTCCTAAGGGGGATGTGGACCGTCCACATCATGTCCATTGGTTCACCAGCAGGATTGTTGCGGGCCCGGATTTCGAGGGTGGATATCCACCATTATCCAAACAATTTTTCTGCTGGCCTAAAGCGCCTGCAGAGCAGTTTTTTGTTGGCCCAGGGCGTACAGAGTTTGTCTCAGCGAGGGGTGTCTGACATTCCACGTATACCAAACACTCCATGGCATTGCAAGGGATAATTACAAATTATCCCGGCAAGAGACCCCAAACAGTGTGTGAGTGTGTGAGGTCTAGAGTCTAGAGTTGTAAACAAATCATTGGAAAGACAATTTGCCCAGATCCGTTTTGTGTTTCAGTTTTTTTTTTTTTCGATTGTTTTTATTGACTTTTTCAAGCTGTTGATGTTGTTTGTTTTTTCGAGTTTTTGTGAATTTGATTTGCTTATTTTTGACGTTTTTTGTTTTTTTTTTCGACGTTCTTTTTTTGATTTGTTTGCTTTTTTGAGCTGTGGTCTGGTTGATTTTTTTGACTCTTGTTTGACTTCTTTTACTTTTCAACTTGACTTTTTTGACTCCAAATTTTCCAGTTGGCGTAGCAGCAGAAAGTCTAGAGATCTAGACACATTGGGGTGCAAAGAGGTGATGGTGGTGATGAAGGTGGGGATCGTGGTGTGAGTGAGTGAGTGAGTGAGTGAGTGAGTGAGTGAGCGAGTGAGTGAGTGAGTGAGTGAGTGGAGGTGGGAGTGGGAGTGGGAGTGGGAGTGGGAGTGGGAGTGGGAGCGGGAGCGGGACCGGGAGCGGGAGCGGGAGTGGGAGTGGGAGTGGGAGTGTGAGTGCGAGTGCGAGAGCGAGAGTGAGAGTGAGTGAGAGAGTGAAAGTGGCAGAGCGAGTGAGAGAGCAAGTGTGAGAGTAAGAGTGAGAAAGTGACAGGGCGGGTGAGAGAGCGAGTGTGAGAGTGAGAATGAGAGTGGGAGTGAGTGTGAGAGTGAGAGTGATTGAGTGTGAATGTGTGAGTGAGAGTGAGTGTGAGCGTGAGCGTGTGTGAGTGTGAGTGAGACAGTGAGAGTGAGAGAGTGAGCATTTGAGAGCACAAAGTGCTGCGCCTGCCACGAAATCTAGTTAGTGCTCGGCGTGCCACTCAATCTGCACTTCAAGGTTCACAAAGTGCTGCGCCTGCCACGAAATCTGCACTTGGAGGTTCACAAAGTGCTGGGCCTGAAAGAAATCTGCACTTTGAGGTTCACACAGTGCTGTGCCTGCCACGAAATCTGCAAGCAAGCCACATGTGCAGTCACGAAATCAGAGTGCCTCGAAGATCACCACCATGTCCAAAGTGCTGCGCCTGCCACAAAATCTGCATTTGGAAGTAAAACCGCCCCGATCCCCTGCACCTGTCACCAAAACACGAGGTTCCCCTTGCGCCTGCCACGAAAAGTGACCACCATGTTCGAAAATGCCCACGGCACCACAACGAGAGGGCAGTCACGACAAGCACCCGCCGCGGCCCACCAGATTTTGCGAGCCTGCGCAGTCGAAATGCACCTCGAGGATTTTGAGAGGCATGACTGCACTGTAAATAGCAGCGAATTAGCCGCGCACGCCGGCGCAGCACCTCCGATTAGACACCGATGCTGAACAACTACCGTAAGAGCCCCTATAGTGTCTCCACACTACTTGGGGAAAATCGCAATTCAAACATGTCGTTCCTCCAAAATGGCCACCAAAACGGCCAGCGTGGCAGCTTTTGGACCGGGACGCTCATTCACTTTTTGGCCACAAAAACATTGAACTTCGTGCTCTATTTACTTACCCAAACACCCGTGTATGGTAAATGGAACATTTAGCCCTACCAGGACCCCCTTGGGATGTTTTTCAATAGCACCTCTGAAGTTGAGGGGTCTCCAATGACAGTGGGCGTGAATACAAGGTATATAAATCTGCCAGTCCCATGGAGCCTCCGGATTTTGAACTTGGACTCAGAAAGAAGACAGCAAATCTTCTCCATAGCTGCCGAAGAACCTCCCCATCAACCATATCAACCTGTTCTTTCACGCGACAGCTCTCCACATACGAGCATCCCTTTCTCAGAGGCAATCCGGTTAGATCCCGAATGCCCGGATCTGAACAGCCCTGGATTTGATCACCTTTCTTGACTTTTGCGATTGCCGAAGACAGTGTCTTGTGGCCGACCACGCAGTTAATTTCTAATTGGTGCATCGGTTCTTTGCCGCCGCCGAATTGTATAGCCTATCACATCCTCGTGAAAAGATGATGCAAAAGCTCTTGCACAGCGTGAGTGAACCACTCCGGGATCGGCTCTGACTGTTCCACACGCGGCTGCGAGACAGTAAAAGTGTCAGCCAACACTTTGCAAAACTTTAAAACTATTCTTTGAGTTGAGTGGTGTGCCACCCACCCTCTTTATTGCAGCCGACGGCTGCATGTTTAGGCAGGGGCATCGCTCGAGATCCAATGAGCATATCCTCAGCATGCATGCGAAAGGTAGGTCCGTCGGCATAATGGACATGGTTGTGTTCCGAACCTGCGGATATCCAAGAAAAGTCCTCGCAACCGCAAGTCGCCAATTGCAGGATGGTGCAAATCGTCACTGATCCCTGCAGGGTGCTATAATCATCGTTGTAGGAGTGGACACACCACTGCCAAACGTAGTGAGATACTCAGCAGCAGGGACCATGCAAATTACACTTGCTGATCTTCACGACGATTCAGGTCAGGCAGCTCTTCAGGCATTTCCATGGACCGGACAGGTCGGGCTTCCAGCCTGTGTTGACGAGCTCGTGACCACACGTCGCATGGTGGCCGCGCCATGAGGCCAGCAAGACCCCACGGCGGATAGCTCTGCTAAAAAATTGCATGTCTCAGGGCGTGCTGAATCGCCATAATAAGGCTGTGTATATTATAATGATAGGATGCGGCGTCGGCGTCTCGTTTCTCCAAGCTCTGTATAGATCACCCGGCCGGCGCCTGCCGGAAAAGATGTGCGAAAAAGCGAGGTGCATAAGCGACATTCCGTCGAAAGGTGAATTTTATAATGCGTGACACCTCAGGGACCCATCCAATATATACGCGTCTGCGCACGTGTGGGACGGGTCCTGTCTGCTCAACTGTCAGTTCGACAATCAGGGTTGATTGCAAAAAAAGTTTCTCTCGTTCTGCACGCTGAAATGGATCGAGTTGAAGCATACGGCAAAATTGTGGCTTTGGCCCTTCAGCCTGAACATACGGCATTCGATATCGGTTTTGGTTATCGTTATTGGGTCGGCTGTTAACGCCTGGTTCTGCCTCAACAAGTCTTTGCCGGGTCACGATAAACATCAAGGCAGGCAGCCTTATGCTTGACATGGTGGATAAGGTCAACATGACTAGGCAGATTTTAACATGTCCTACTTTGGACAAACTGGCGCGCAACATTTACTTGCTCGCGCTGCTTGAAAGCATGTACAGCTAGGGCCGCTACCTCGAAAGAGTCTGCGGCAGGCACAAGACAAACATGCTCATTGGCAGGCATCTCATTTCCACGAAGCATCGAGCATGGCATGCTCTTTCATGAAGGAAACACTTTCGCTATTCCAAAGATTCCAGTCAAACATTCTTCGAGTCCGCGCCGGCGTCGCGCCGATGCTCGTTTCAAAGAGAGATGTCCACTGTTTCGGAGCCTCTGACCAATAGACAAAGTCAGTCCAAAACCAGTGTCTCGCGTGCTGGACAGGAGCCCTATAGGCTGGTACAATTCTGTCTAAATGGGCAAGAACGCCACATATAGTGTAATCATCAGGCCGGATTTTGTAAAACCTGCGCAGGAGCTCGCAGTAACCTTCTGGCACCACTCTGCTAGCCACCACTCCCATGCCAGAGGATGTGAGAGCTCAAGTGGCTTCGCAGCGCGGAGTTGAGTCCCTCAATGCGTTGGGCTAACGCGGCGACACCGGCTTCTTCCCCATCGAAAACGCACCTCGATATGTCTTCATCAACAAAAACACCTCGATAGCTGCATCGAGGAAATTGGAGACTAACTGGGGAGTATGCCAGCGATGCCGTACGCACGGGAGTAAAGTGCCGCCACTCTCACCTTCTGCAAGACATCGCTCTTTGCGTTGTTGCATGCGTCAATGGTGTTTGCTGCACTACTAATCCCCCAATTTTCCAACATGCGTGGTACATCGGGGCACCATTCGCCAGTCAATTTGCCTTCTTCACAACAGTAATGGGTTCCGCAGAACTCCGCCTTGCCTTCAAACTGCGGCAACTTTTTTTCATATTGTGGCCAGCGCGGGTCCAAAAGGAAAGGAATAATTCGACAAACTTGCGTCATCACGTATGGGTGGGGAAATCCTGCACAAGGAGCCATCCCCTTCAAATAAACCTTTCCACCAACGCCACTGGCCGAAGATGTCATGGAACTTGCGACGGATTGAGAGAGATTGACGGATCCTGTGCCATGGAAGCTGTCCAACAAACGAAATTGATCCACCAATTCAAACAACCGGTGCCGCGATGTCCAGACCTCTTAAAAGCATCTATCATCATCTATCTATAAGAGCGAATATCTTGAAGACGTGAGCTTTGAGCTTGTTTCCCCAGGACAGCTTGAAGGATTTCTTGCTGTTCACTGCCTGATGTGCCTGTGCCCAACTCTCTGGCAGCATGCATCTTTGACTGAACACACGAGCAATGTACGCCAAGACAGGGTTCTCGATGAGATCACGTAACTTCTGGCTGCAGCACGTGTCCCACGCTGATCCATCCCCCTCTATAAGCTCGCCTTTATTCTTGCCATCCACCTTGGCAAGATATTTGTCACTCTGTTCAATGCATCTTTGCGGGGGGCGTGCTTGATGGATCTCTCTTCTTGCCTCATAAACAGGCAGTGTTCAAAAATGGCGATAGTCAAGGGAGCGAGATCCTGTCCGGGATCACCGTCAGCACTCAAAATACGTGGCGGTTTTGGCGTGCCATCAGGTTTTGTGCCTGCGGGCTCAAGTTTGATCTTCGACTTGAGGCGGAATTGCGGGTTTGACTGCTGGAGCAACTTCTCGAACTCATGCTCCCAACGGTCACAGCCCCATTTCTTGGACTTTGCATTAGGATTTGATCACCGGCTGAACAAAAAGAGTTTGGTAACACGGGCAGCAGAACATCTCTGCATGTTGATTTGCAAGTGCACACACACATCAAAAACAAGCATGAATCAAGGTCCCTGAATATCTGCTTAAATGCTATTGCACGCTATTGCTATCTATTGCTCTTTCCTCCATTACCATCTCAAATAAACCTCATTGGAGACCATCCGCCATCGAGCTATGTTGATTATGTTGGAGCAGTGGAAGCTACACCTGCTACTGTAAAAATGAGCGATGAAGCTTTGATCACTTTGCTATGTTTTGCTAGCACCGGCTCGAATCAGAATAGTTCCAATGCACGACCACTTCCATTCCCTCTTGGAACGAAGCCTCAAAAGAACCTCATCATCCAGCAGTTCCAAATCGGAATGATTTTTAGTCACATCCAGTAAGTTGATGTGACAGTGGCACCCCTACCCTCAAAAAACCAGACATGGAACTCCTGAATAACAAATGCTTATAACGTTGGGTACAGTCCAAACGCTCCTAGACCAGGATCGGTCCCGAATCGGGTCTCGGCTTGAAGCATCGCAGTTTCGGGTGCTCCACGATCCACTCGATGGGACTAAGAACCCTAAGGGTCCAGGACCATCCGAATCGGATGATCCTTTGACCCCCCAAGACCATTCTCTGGAAGTACTTTCACCTCCAAGACTCCAAGACCATCCTCAGGAGGTACCTGGACCCTATGGGGAACCGTTCCGACATGGAACTGCGCTGCATGGCATACCAATATGTGGTTCCTACAACCTTGGACTGCCGACGCCTATGAAGATTGCCCTCGTCCAAGTCTCTGCCAAGTTGGGATCCTCTTGAGCCTTCCGTACCTGGCGATGGTTTTCACGATGAAACAGGCTGAACTGTGCAAAACCGAGATCTAGCAGACCCCTAAACCCTAAAGCACACACGGAAGATCGATAGATTGGATCCGAGTTCACTCGTAGAAAACGGGACATGACCCTATATTGTATGTTCCGAGGTACATCGAGACTCAACATATATACAGTAAGGATGGACTAGAGCTCCCTCCACTTTTCGTCGATTTGGCCTTTCTTGGGGCGGGGTCCAACGGGTCCAACTATTATAGGTCTCCCAAGTTGGCTCGCTTGGATTCTTACGAAACCCCCCACGCTCTAAGACCCCAGACCGACCGAATCCGCTGCCACCGGACCCTGTCCTCGGACCCTCCCGAAGTCGCCGACATCGGAGGGTACCGGCTGTGGGTCAAAAGCAGGAGACCGAGCGGTTAAGCTCCCAGCCAGGTCAACCTCCGGGAGCTGGTTTTGACCCATCCCCATCTGTTGATTCATAGTGAACGCTAAGGGTCCAGGACCATCCGAATCGGATGATCCTTTGACCCCCCAAGACCATTCTCTGGAAGTACTTTCACCTCCAAGACCATCCTCAGGAGGTACCTGGACCCTATGGGGAAGGGTTGGTGGTTCAGGCACATTCAATACGAAGGACATGCATGCAATACCCATGGAGAATGCTGAGCGAAAGGCACCCCCGTCCGACGCTGCAACGCTCGGTCTGAAAGGAGCTTTGAGGGGCACTTTGGGGTGTGAACATGTGTGAACTCTTCGCCAAGCTGTCATTGATGGATCCTTCCATGAGTTTCCTGTGAGCAGTGCCTGGAATCGCCCAAAGAAGTACCTGGAAATCACACTGACTTCCTCCGCCACAGTTAGACTCCAGAGAGCTACCAAACGGAGAGACTCCCTCCCGCCCGCCCAAGGGCGAGAGTGTCCGACGCGGAGACGAGTCGCCAAACGGTTTGACTCGGAGTCCAGGATCTTGCAGCAGCGTTTCCTGACGATCCGTTCGGAACACCAGCACCTAGATGGGACTGCCATATACACCAATCAGGCCAAGGATGGGTTGAAACAGGGGTCAATCAATCGAACTGCATGGAACGTTTGATCTACCTGGAGTCTCAGTTCGTAGCTCGGAAAATGCGGTGCAATACCTGCATTTCTATAAAGCCATGTAAAGGCCATTGGATCATGTCCCATTTTCAAGGGTACCAACCAAGTCGGGTCCAGGATTGCCAGTCCCATCGGTCGTGTTTCAAGATTGGACCAGGTCAAACGAGAGAAGAACCCCCGTTGCGACGGGAATGCCCATGGGTACCGTGCGGGCTGTTCGATCTGGCTTCAAACATGTTCGCCCCATTGCACTCGCAGGTTAATACATCTAGCGCGAGGATCATCTTTGAGTGTCTGCGATGGCTTCCCCAAAGTCTAAAGATTTCATGGCAGAGTTGAGCCCACTCACAAGCAGCAATCGTTACAAAATTATACGGCTGTGTAATACGAATGAAAAGCAGAGTCAATGAACAAAGCTTCCAACAAGTACGGAGAAAATACTGGACACAAAGTCCAAAACATGGCAGACCATGGCAGACTTTGATTCAACTCACCTGCCAAAAAACAAAAAAAACTGACTAGTCTCAACTCCAAGACCGATCTGACCTATTCTGGACCGACCTCATGCGCCCGAGACCGCAGACCGTCATGAGGTTGTCCCCAAGACACAAGTCATCCAATACACATGGCTGGCTGTCTGTGAAAACCACATGCCCGTGGCAAACATCAAAAATACTGAAAATAGAATGACATAAACAAAAAATATATACAATAGTCTAATGGTCCAAGTCTATCTATACTGTCTGTACTTTTAAAACAAACGCTACAACCCAATGGTTGGAGGCATTCCCAAAATTGACCTTCATCCACCAAATCCACCCTAACAAAAGGAGGATGAAGGTCTTAATATGTCTTTATATGTCTTTATAGATCCCCATGGATTATCCCAAAAAAACAAAAACCATGGCCCACCAAAATATAGGTGACTTGCAGCACTTTGTGAACTTGCGAATCCAGCTGTCTTCACTCGCACGGGTCTGACCCGGGACCCATTCTCTGCGCTTGTGAGATCACACCAAGCGTCAGTTCTCTGTAGAGCGGACTGCACCAGTCCTAAGAGATCTGCTCGGAACCAAAATGGACTCTGACTCTATCAGTTTCCCTTGAAAAAATGGCTCACCTTAAAGGGTTAAAGGTTATCCCCGGACTGGCTAGGGTTTGCCGATCGGTTCCTGACCCCACATCGAAGGTAGGGACCGACCATCCCCTCACCCACCCCAACCACCGAACCTGAGGATGTGGGACGGGAGCCCTATATATAGAGATTTTCACAGAGTCAAAGCAATCCTCGCGAATCTCAAAGCCCATCTCCACCACCCCTGACCCCACCACTGCAACTTTCCAGCTTGCAATCTATCGGGCCCGATGTTGAAAGGGACACATCTAAGATCACATGGCCCAAAGTGTCATACTTCTGGCACCTTCTTGAGTTTCCGACCATCTCCCCATCCACCGATTGATGACACAAACATAGATTGAAACATCTACAGGTCATAGCCCAGTGCTGGCCGCTGGCCCTGGCGCAACCAAGAGTCCCACAGAGCTCTCGCGAGCCCACCATGGGCCCCACCAAAGGGCCACGGGAGGAAAGCGCTGCACATACTCAGCACGGTGGCCACACCAAGAAAGCATCGCACCGGGGAGATCAGACAACTCCATGGGCTGGTATATATGCCGATGTTGGGAGTCAAGGTACCCTGGAACATGGATACAAACAACATCAAACAACTGTGTTGTAAAATAAGGTAATGTCCCATCTTTTAGGGTACGAACAAAGTCGGGTCCAGGTTCACTGACCCCAAGTCAACCACTCCATGTAAGTAAATATGCCATACGTGGAGCGTTTGGAGACTATGAACTGGAGTCAATGGTGAGCCTGGCAAGTAGCTACCTGGACCCTTCATCTGATCACCAACGGAGGGTCTCGAGGTACTTGGAGCAAAGTATCTTTGGGAAGAAACCAGCCTGATCGAGCATCGAGGCTGCTTCACTACAAAGACATGATACATCATGGTACCACTTGATTCACAAAGTTTCTCACGCACTCAGCAGGTCTGAACTCAAGAAGGCCACTTGCTATATTAGCCCCACCAAGGAAGGATGGTCAATCATCAATAAACAAGAGCTACCGTAACACGAGTGTCCAAGTGCCAGGTCCCTCCAAGCATATTCAAAACCTACAAGTCAAAGACCTCATTTTACTGGAGATGGTCATACAAAACCAATACTTAAGGAGGTAAAAAAACTGGTTTTACTGGGTCTTTGGACTTGTAAGGTAACATAACTATTCATATAATATATATATATATATATTCTAATGTTACAACTATAACTACTTGCCGGGTCATGTCTCCTCATGTCCATGGCTACTTTGGAGACTCCCAGGAGGCTAGAACCTCACATCATACAGTATTTGGACGAAAACAACCGTGTTTTTTGAACGAGCAGGCGCCATCTGAGAAAACCTCTCAGAGCCAAGAGTCAAGAAGGCCGCCAAAGAGCTGTTTGCATGGATTCGCGTGCAAACATTGGCACGATCAAACGCCTGCTTTGGGCGTGTGGATCGCTTGTTGCCAACGAATCCTCCAAATCGCAATCCACGAAGAAAACACTTCACAGCTGGTCTTTGAGCTGGGTCGCCCGAATTCGGGAACGGAATCCGCGGTTATTTCTTTTGAGAGACACACACACACACACACACACACCCGCGCACAAACACACACACACACACACACCCTCAACAAACCAGCCTTGCCGTAGACGTTGGGCACACCTTCTGCGGTGTTGCTCTGCTCGCCGAAGAAGATGTCCATAATGCTATCGAAGGTAAAGTTGAAGAAACATGCCCTGGGCAGCTGAAGAAACGTCATCCCTCTTTGGGAAGTCTGCATAACAACAAAGCTGATTAACATACAAACTCAGGAAAGTGGAAGGCTGGGTAAAGTCAAAGAGTCAACAAACAAGGCAACTGTGCAAAGCACGCTATTCTGTGGTTCGATCGTGGTTTAACCTGGAGAGTGTTTACAATTTGCACATCCGCTGCCTTTGGTCTTGGTAAGTGTTGGCTCTATCAATCTGAAGCTAGCGTTTCAACAAACAAAACATCCATACACCAACATCTATGAGCATCTTCTCGCCAAGTTGTCTGAGCGCTCTTGCTTGTGTAGCCAAGGTCGACCCGGGTGGCCGGGTCGACCAGTCACGTCTTTCGAGCTTGGGGGTCGACAGGCCAAGACCAAAGCACAACTAGACCAGACCCCAAAAGTTATTGGGTCGATCCTCGTTGATCAACCCATCACCTTTTGCTCCGGCTGATTCAAGTTCTGAAAAGAACACCAGTGGAAGAGTAGTCCTGGAGTGAACGGACTTTCCCATATAGGATTTTAACAACAAAAGAGATTGTGAATGGAATCTGTTTAGACTCCTGGGGGAGAAAAAACCTCCTATCATACCTATAGAGATGAGCTTTTACAGTTTTATCGCCTTGGCAACTTGACTCAGAAAGAAACTTCACCTCGCAAACTTGTCACAAACCATCCGAGCCAGAGATAGGCAGACCCTGGAGTTGGATCTTTCGTCGGAACGCGAAGAATCCAATGCCGGACGTTGGGGGATCGCTTTCGACATCGTTGAGATAGATTTCCGCATAAAGGGTCTTGGAGTCCTGGAGTCTCAGTGACCTCCAACAATGAGTCAGTCCCTACAAGTCAATGACCCCCTCATTTTACTGAAGTTGGTCATACACAAACACTAGTCGAGGAAGGACCAGGTTTTTTGGGGTCTTTGGACTTGTTCTCCGTACTTGCTAGTACCTGTTACTGTACCTGTCTACAAAGCCATGTCCCAATTTCTAGGGAGCTTTGGAGGTCCAGGTAAATAAGGAAAGGATTTGGGTCAGCCGAGTGGCTGGATGTCCACTGGCTTGTCTCCCTGCTTCTGCAGAAACTTCCGAAGCTGCTCCGACTTCGACACAAACACCTGGCATGCGAGATCCGTATCATCATCATCATCATCATCATCATCATCATCATCATC